CATGTTCTAGTCTGGAGATTTTACAAAAATTTTTAACCAGGTTGGAAGAGGCTTAGATTTACTAAACCCTAGGAAAACAACATTTACTGGGGAAAAATTGATCTAATTTTCAGTTAAAGCTGTGTTATTCTGTTCTTGCTCAAAGGAAAACAGGCACTCAGAAATCATTGCGATAATAGCAAGAATTCCTGTGCTTTTTACACAGCCTGTACATGATGCATCCCCTGAGTGTATGAGGAAGAGCTCAAATAGGATGCAACATGTTTTATATGCACTTGTTGCTGTGTTCCTTCAAGTCATTTCTGATTTATGGTGACCCTACCTAGGGGGACACTATCACAGGGTTTTCTTGGCATGTTTCTTCAGAGAGGGTTTGCCATTGCCATCCTCTGAGGCTGAGAGAGTATGACTTGCCCAGGGTCACCCAGTGGGTTTCATGGCCAAGCTGAGATTCAAACCCTGGTCTCCTGAGTCATAGTCCAACACTCAAACCACTATGCTTTTATACAGAGGAGAGGAGTACAGCACTTCAAACCCACCTTTGTGCCTCCCGAAACCCTCTGCCAGTCCCACAAAGTTCCTCAATCTCCTTTATAAAAAATACAATTCAATGTAACATGCCCTGCAACATTTTACAGGTGAAAACTGAGACACATGCAGCCAAACAACATTAATATGCTCAAGATGGCTATTAAAAGCTATTTATGAACAAGAATACACAAGCTACATCAAACTGCAGTAGTTTGCTTTTGCCTGAGCCTACTGGGAAGGGGAAGGTTCCACTCTCTCCTCTCTGCTGAGTGAATGGAGTGCAAACTACTTCTGCTGCAATTGAACTCTGTTAGCAGCAAGTGAAGTAAGCTGAGGACAAAGGAGGAAAGTGGGAGGAAGAGTTTAAAAGCAGCTGGAAAAGTGGGATATCAGAGGATTAATCAGGATTGTCCCAGCCAAATTGTGATTGTTGGAGAGCATGGTATAGTTTTCGGGTGAATCTTGCCCACAAACTAAACATGAAGCTCCCCACTTGCCCCAAAATACCGAAGGCTTTTCGAAAGCCTGGAAATGACATCTGGAGTCCTCTCCCAGTTGTGAGATGCATTGACACAAGCAATTGTGCAAGACCTTGAGAGGTCTCCCCAACCGCCTGTCCTTGGTGCCCCATGGTTCAATCCTCATTTCGTGGTGATCCAGTTTACAATGCCTTGGAAATCCTTTGGTATGGGCACTGCCTGGCTGAAAAAGAAGATTTTTGGGGTGGCACTGTCATAGTTATGCCTCAACCTTAACCTTAACCCTAATTTAAAAAGATCTTGTAGCCCCTTTGAGACTAACTGAAAAAAAAAAAGAAGTTGGCAGCATGAGCTTCCATAGATTTAAGTCAACTTCCTCAGATGCATTAAGTCTACGAAAGCTTTTCTTTTTTTCAATTAGTCTGAAAGGTGCTACAAAATCTCTTTACATACTGATCTTACAGACTAACATGGCTATATCTTTGGACTCAACCATAATTATTAAGCATTGCCTTGATTGCATGTGTGAGCAATGCTTCTATCATCTCTGGAAAAAACTGTTGCCCTTCCTTGTCTTTGCCCCTCATAAGCCATTCCTCTGTCAGATAAGCAAGGCTTGCTAGTACTGGATGGAAGGGGTCTGAAGTCCCTCTCAAAATGGTGACACAATGCTTGCCATCCCTCTCAAAATGGTGAGAGGAAGCCACACCATGTCTGCCGTCCCTCCATTTTGAAAGGGACTTCAGACTTGCTGCAAACTACTGTCATTTTGTAAGGAACTGGAGAGGAAAACAGAGATATTTGGGCATTCTATGGGGGGATGTATGGCCCATGAGGGGAAGTTTGGAAGGAAAAGTGCTTCCCCATGCGGGTGTCCATCCCTCATTTATACAAATATAATAAGTTACACAACACCAGAAAGATTTGCACACTTGCTGCACATTAAATAGACAGGGGTTTATGCAATATGGTTGGTGAACATATCTAATGAGTGAACCACTTCCACAAAGTTTGGTGATAAGGTGATACACATGCATGTTCACCACCTATAGTCTAGTGTTCAGTTGCATGTGTGAGCAAGTTACCCTAGCTCCTACGTCACAGGAAGAACGTAGCATAACTCATCTTGTGTAATGTGTTCCCAATTCATGTGCTCGGCTGCATATCACTGAGTTTTGGATTGGTCATGAGAGTGTCAACAGGCCCTTTGGTAGCATAGACTGCATCTTTTCCTAAACATACAGCATCCCTCAAATCATTAAAAACAATCACACATCTCAGTTTCCCATTTTGGCACACAGCTGGTGAAGATGAAGGAGCCAGTTGCTCCAGTTCATAACTCAGGGCCAGTAGGCAATACAAGAGATCCAGTCTACTGGCAAGGTTCCACCCAGGTGTGCAATTGCAGATGTTCATCACTGAACTTGGAGGCTTACATGCCCTCAGTGGTACAGAGTGCCTTTCCTCCGGGGCTTTTTCCTGGACAGAGACAGGCTGGCCTCTGTTCCCATGCTTTGAACATTTCCAGGTTAGATGAAGGCTATCTGCTGTATGTGATCTGCCTTTGAAGAGCATCCAGAAGCCTCAATTAGTTCAGAATGCAGATGCTAGACTTCTAACAGGAGCCAGGAGGTGGGAATATATCACAGCTGTCTGAGACAACTTCACTGCTCCTTTCTTTTGCTTCTGTGCTCAGTTCAAAATGTTGACTCTCACATTAAAAACAAGACCACCACACACCATGCCATGGCTTTGGAGCTAATTCTCTCTTGGACCACCTTCGCCCATATCAGTCCAGCATGCACTGGAATCTATATTAGAGGCTCTTCTCAGATGCCTCTTGGTTCCAGAAACTAGTAGCAACAGGAAAGCAAGACTTGGGTTCAGCAGTTCTTCCCTGTCTGGAGAATTTCTTCCAAAAGGGTGTCTACTATGCTATAAGGTGTGTAAGAGGAAGGGAACAGAATCCTAGAACTGGAAAGTGCCATCTAATCCAAAGAGGCTACTAGAGCCACAGAATAGTGCCTTTGGCAATTCTTATTGCATGATGTCAACGCCATCTGGTTGCTGCTTAACTGTGAGCATCCCTTTTCACTGATGGGGGAAACCCATCAATAAGCTCCCAAATCCCACTGCTATCCTATTAGACTGGAGATACAAAATGTCATTTTCAAAGCAATTCTGAAATTATGGAGTCATGCGGTATCAGTATCTCCTCCTCTCTCCATGTTTCCCTTCTCCCTTGTTGTTCCCAAGCAGGCTGATTTCTTTTATTTCCCCCCTATTTATTTTCTTTTCTTAAAAATAAATAAATAAATCACACTAGCATAACTCTGAAATTGCATTAAAAATAAAAATAAATTAAAGGCATGCACAGGGCAAGAAGATGGAGTTAAAGGGGATTGCAGAAGAGAGTGCAAGGGACTGTTGATAGCAGAAACAGTCCCAATTGTGCCATTGATGAGATCAAGTGATAATAAATGCTCCCAACCGGTATGTATCCATTTTCTTTTACTTACATGATTGCGTCAAGAACAAGGCTTGTGTGACAATGTCCCATGCCCCTGCCATACAATAAGATACAATTGCGGCGCTCCTGAAATATGTCCCGAAATATGAAGAGCTCTAAAAAAGGAGAGCTCCAAGGAAGTCTGTATTCCACTGTCAAACAATGCCTTACAGTCACAAGGTTCTTCCTAACATTTAGGTGGAATCGTTTCTCTTGTCATTAGAATCCAAGAAATGTTTCCCTCTTTTAAGCTTCTGTGAGTTTTTATTGACTGGAAGCTGACTTTGTGCCATACTCTGTGTGTGTGTGTGTGTGTGGGTATGTGGGGGGGGGGTTGTTTTCAATGTTTCAAATCTTTTTCTTATGTGGGAGGGTCTGACTTCTAATTTACTCTTTTGTAAGAAATCCTGGAAATATCAACAGGCAGCTGAAGAATAGGTTATACATTTGAAATGTTGACACCTATACAAGGCAGATGAGAAGCTTGGTTCTGTACTCACAAAATGAATCTTTTGTGCCTTTTACAGAAACACAAGTTCCCGTAGGCATGCAGTTATAGTGATTTAAGCATTGCATAATAACTGCACTCAGTCCATATTCTATCAATCAATGGAGTTTCACAAATGCTTCTGTTGCACACTCAGGTATGCATTCTTGGATGATGCTTAACTATTCACCAGTGCCTTCAATGTCCCCTTGATTCACGAAGGGCTGGTCTAAGTGTAAGTGTGTTATGCGAATTGCTGAGGACTTTCGCACATTCGCTTCAATGCAAAGCAGGCAGATGGTCACACGTGCAATGATGCACATTTCTGAAGATTTCTGTGGATACTCCAGTAAAAAAGCATTGAACCTTTTTCTGTGGAGTTTAAGGATTTTTTTTTTGCCCCCCACGAACCCCCCCCCCCAGCTCCTGCAAATCTTGCTGGATCATATTCAGTTTGACTGGAAAAAGGAATATTTTCATTGTGTAGACTAGCCCTAGGATTTCAGGAACAGTCACTCTGCACTCTCCATATCACAGTGGGACAATATGTGAGTACACTGGCAGATAAAACAGCCCATTGTACAACATCAGTATTCGGAAGAAGAGCAGAGTTCCACAACCAACACTTAAATACATGTGTGCAAATTTATGCTATGCAAGCATGATATCAGATCTCAGCCACAATCGGTGGGTATGGAGGAATGCAGAAGGCATGATTGCAGCCAAGAGGAAAACTCAAGGGTTAAAGGGGGAAGCTGAAAGGGGTGAAATTTCCAGCCCATCATTCAGCCAAAAAGGCTCCCATGGTGGATTGCAAATGCTTAATAGTTTGCTGTTGTTGTGTGCCTTCAAGTCATTTCTGACTTATGGCAATCCTAAGGCTGACTTCTAATCATGGGGATTTCTTGGCACATTTCTTCAAAAGGAGTTTGCCATTCCCATCCTCTGAGGCTGAGAGAGTGGGACTTGCCCAAGGTCACCCACTGGGTTTTCCTGGCAGAGCTGGGATTTGAACCCTCATCTCCAGAGTTGTAGTCCAACATTCAAACCACTACATCACACTGGCTCCTTGTAGTTTAATCATAGTTTAATAGTTTATTAGCTTAAGTGATTAATAGTTCTCTGCCCTAAAGCTTGCAATCTAAATAAGATGGGAATCACTAGGAAAAGGACATGGCAATAAAGGAGTGGATTCAGTCTAGCAGATCCTGGCTGCTCTTCTCTCCCTCGGAGGCCTGAGGAGATGGAGGACTACTTCATGAACATTGCTTTTCTTTTTCCAAAATGCAAGGAGGAAACATACATCAGAAGCTCCTTGCCTGTGACTGGATAATGCTGCTTGGTTACAGCACTGTTTTGAACCAAAAGTTAACAGGAACATGAAATAAAAACAGTAGAAAGTAAGGATGAAATGAACATCTTGTTGGCATACAACGGAGATGCTTCCTTTGTATGTTCCTGTAGTTTTGTTCCTTCACATTTTTAGTGGGGAATGCAGCACAGTTGTCTGCTAATATCACAAAATATATGGACAGCAGCTGCTTTAAAAGTGCTTCGCTTTAGTGGCCATGATATCCTAGCAACAACCCAATACATCTTTGGGAATGTTTGCTTTTCCTTTCTTGAGGATTGCGTTCTGAATTCATTTGCCCCTTCGCAGAGCAACAGTTTCCTCCTCTTTCTAAACAGGATTTTTTTGTCATTCTGATACAGGCCCAATTGAGAAAAACTGCTCACTTCCCCATGCTCCCCCCCCACCCCGAGACTTATGACAGATTTTGAGAAACGAGGATATTGTCTGTGATGCGGGCCTCTTCTTTGATGGATTCCACCTCAGCCAAACGAAATTAAGATTTCAGCAAACAAGCCCCACTTCTGCAGAGCCGGCAGAACAAATGACGGCTGATAATTGCCAGCTCCTTTTGCTTATTCTTTGCTCTGTTCACTCCATCAGTCTCTCCAGATTATATTTTCAGCTGAGTTTAATGAACATCATTTATTAAACTAACACCAGGGCTCTGCTCTGGCCTCAGACAGATGTGTTCGCTAATATGAATCATTCCTTTAAATTGGATTATTCTGATTGGGAACAGATCCCTGCCACTCCATGGAACGCAAACAAATGGGGGCCGATTCGCCTCCGGTCGTGACAATAATCAGGTTGAACTCATTAAAAGCCCATCCTGGTGCCATCCGCATCTGGGACTGGAAGGGCAAGTATGATTACCATTTCCTGTTGATACCCCAGGTACAAAATGCAATCGACTTAGCAAATTCATTTTTAACCCATTTCTGAACAGAGGGGTAAAATAGTGATGCTTGCCCTGCTCAGGGACATGCATCATGACTTTCAGATGCATCACCAATGGGTAAAGTCAATCAATTACATCTCCTGCTTTGTCACCACAAATGGTTCCTATTGCAATTGGTAACAGGGCAACAAATGTATTTTGTGTTCTAGCAAGTTGACTTCAAGGAAAGCTAAGGATGCTGTTGAGCAGCATTAAGTTGTCCATGCAGATTTATCAATCTGCTTGTTTCTACGTTGCAGTGACATCCACAGAAGGAGCTCAAAGGAAAGCTACCTAAACAATGGGAAGAACTGTGAGAACTGTTCTATGGTGGAAAAGTGAGCCTTGAAGGGTGTTGGATCCTCCCGCTTTGGAGGTCTTCAAAAAGAGAGGCTGGATGGCCATATTTCAGGAGTGCTTTAATTGTGTACAGTATGATACTCTTATCATACCACGGACTAGTACCCATGGTTTTGTTTACCCATGTCTGAAAAAATATATGCTCTCTAGGCATTTTTCTAAGTGCTCTAGCACAATTCTATGGTATGCTTCTGCCAAAGGTTGACCACAGTCATGCTGAAGGAGCTAGTAATGCTTAGAGAGGTGTTCTCTCTAGGAATCTCTAGGTCCTCCTGCACAACTCTATCATCAATCTTCTCCAGAAGTGATTCATTTCAATTCAGTTTGCTGTTATCCATGCTTTCCTTTTCCATGGTAAGTCCAAGAATGTATCCCCTGCAGATACAGGGGCCGTACTGTATTCCCAAATGGCAAGGGGTTGGACTATATGACCTGTGGTCCCTTCCAACTTTATGATTCTATCATTCTCTGTAGAGGTTGTATGTGGGCTTCCCAACTAGAATATGGAAGCTTAAATGCACACCCACACAACAAACCTCAGGAACATGGAAGCATAGAAATGGCCAGCACACAGCTTGCCAGAAGTCACTAGGCTCCAGATGTCTTGGTCTACAGATGCCATTATGGTCAGTGATGCCATGAAGATGGCCTGTCCTCTGGTAGGTTAATTGGTGGTAATAACCCATAGTACTTCATTCTGAGGAAGAACTCCTCAGAACAAGGTATGTGAAGCAGAATAAGTAGTGAAGGGAGGGGTCCAAGGAAAATACCAGGAGATATGAGTGGAAAAAATACTGGAGCAGAATTCCATCCTCTTTGGAAAAAAAAATTAGAAGACCATGCTGGTGAATCAAGTACCCAACTGTATTGAGACATGTACATCCAAGAGTAGCCATGTCAACCAT